ATTTACAGTGAAGCTGAGAAAAATTGAGCCTAGGGAAGCGTGGAAACAATAAATGAGCAATTATTTTATTGTCAGTTCCTAGGCAAGTATTATGTAAGATCATCGTGCAGTGATTAAAAGGAAAAACACGTCTTTATCCTTTGCCCGTTATCTCCTGATGGAACATAGGCCCTCAAACAACTCATATCAAGTCGTCCTATTCTTTGCAGTTGCATGCAGCTCACCCCCTCCCAAGTGGTTTTTTTTTTTTTTTACTTGACTCTTTAGTTCCCTTGTCCGTGAGTGAGTGAGTGTGTTTGCACGCGCAGGAACATCTATTAACACGAGCCTATTTGTATACCTATATTAGGAACCGTTACGTAAAGATAAACTTTCACACAAAAATGTCCCAGTAAAGATAAATCAATTATACTGCAAAAATGAGTGTTAACATGCTTCAGTGAACAATCTGTAGGAGTAGATGAGGAAATTCTTCAACAAATGAATTGGTTCAACGATACTTGGGGGAGGGGGGGGGGGGGGTCGAAAGAGTTGTCTTAAAAGTCAACAGTACTGAAAAAATTCTGACCACCCAATTCAGCACAGGAGACGGAAACCTGTTTTTGTTTCTTTCTTTCTTTCAAGGGCCAGTTGCAGTGCTGCTTTCAGCCCGCACCGTTGAACTGATGTGAAATATGAACAAGGCGCTGAGAAACCAATAGCAACGGAAACGTTATTTCTTAGGAAACTGCAAAGAATATCACAGACTACAGAAAACAACAAAAGTCTTCAAGAAATAAATAAAAAACCGCGTTAGATGTTCATAGCTCGGCTTTCTGAATATTTAAAAAAAAAATCAAGTTGGTTTTTGTTTTTAAATATTTTTAGTTGTTTAAATCCTAGTGACAACTGGTAAAGTTGATGGGAAGTAAGCGATGGGATAGCAATGGCAATAAATCCCTGATTTGGACACAGAGTTCAAGCGTTATTTTGGTTAGGGCGTAAGCAGAGGACCCCGCTTACTGGTATAAGGCATAATCGGTATAGTCCATGATGATCTTATATATCTACTGTCATAAAGTTCTCTTTACTTACTTACTTAGTCGCTCCTCTTCTACCTTGGGGTGTAGAGGTTTGCCAAAGAGATTGCCAGATGTCTCTGTCTGGAGTTTTCTTTCTGGCTTTGTTACATTTCAGTCCTCTGTAAAGTTCTCTATACTTTATACAGTAATCAACTAGGCACCTAAAAAAATCAATGTGCCTTCATTGGCTATGTCTATCGTACAGCTTGAAATCCACAACTATGGAATTGGGACAAAATTCGTCTCGCAAACATTTGAAACGGCATCATAGGTTACATAAATTTATATTATATAAAGCATATGTTAAATAACAAATACAACAATAATTATAAACGCAACAGACCGTAATGGTGTCTCTAGAATACAGCGAACATTTAAGAAAGAGATTTCACTGATCGCGTTCATTGTGTTACACGTGATTGAAATAAATAAAGAGAAGGGGACCCTTGTGGCTGTAGAAACATTACAAACGCGCGCGCGCACACACATATGTATATACAGACAATGTATTGATTGATGGGTACTGACACTCACAGAAAAAATTAAACAGCTCACAGCCTCAGGAAAAACAAAGAGACTACAAGCAGATACTTTTTTACGCTATTTCCTGGGCCCACAGCGTTAGATGCAGGAACGTCAGAGAATCTAACAGTCCCAGACCCAGGAAATTCACCATGTGTGCGTGTTCCGTTCATTATGAAAGAGAACACACCCAGGCGCAGAGGCGGTTGCAATTCCCCAGCAAACAGATATTTACCTCCCACATTCACGGGCGGCAAACCCGTTATTTGTATTTACTCATTAACGTTCACCTCACGCCAGCTGGAGGCTACAAGCCAACAAAGAGCAGTGTAAAAAAAAAAAAAAGAGTAACCCATCTATATGTCAAGTGAGCCGATGTGGTGTAGCGGCTAGCCGCTCGCTTGCGGGTCCGAAGGTCGTCGGTTCACAGCAGGCTCTCTGTGTGCGGGTTCAGGGTCGCAACTGACAGGCTGGGCTGTGGGAGGAAGGGGGGGGGGGTTGCAGAAGAAATCCACTGTTCCATTAGAAGACGAACTGCTCTCGTTTCACTGATGGTCTAACAGACCTTTCATCGGCCTTTTAGAGGTATCGGAGAACGTCGCACTTATTTTCGTATTAGCTTAACATGTTCGTTAGCCTAGAAAATCAAGGCAGAATGATTATTCTCCTCTGTCACTTTATTCATCATCATCAGGTGCCTTGCCGACTGGCGTGGGCGATCAGGCCTCTCCACATTCTGCGATCTGCTACGGCATGTATCAGTTCGTGTGCCGACACACCTTCATGCCATGCAACAAGACCGTCAAGAATCTTCTCTCTTCGTCTTCCTCTATCTCTCCTTCCACAGATCTTTCCAGTGGTCACAACATGTTTTAGTTTCCCTCCCCTCATAACATGGCCGAAAAATGATGACTGTCTCCTTCTGATGTCTGTGATAAGTTGTCTTCGGGCTCCCGCCTCTTTCAAAACCTCTTGGTTGCTCTTTTTGGCTGTCCAAGATATTCTAAGCATTCTTCTGTAAAATCACATCTTTGAGGCCTCAAGAAATAAACCTGATTTTTATTTTTAAAGAAAACAACAAAGTCCGCAAAAGAAAACAACCAACTCTGCAAAAGAAAACAACCAACTCTGCAAAAGAAAACAACCAACTCAGCAAAAGAAAACAACCAACTCTGCAAAAGAAAACAACAAATTCTGCAAAAGAAAACAACCAACTCTGCAAAAGAAAACAACCAACAGAAATTTAAGAAGTGATAGCAGCGGAAACATGGGTGAAGTTACAAGCTGGATGCGAGCGAATCGGCCAAACGTGCAGGCAGCTTCCCTCTGTTGCCTGAAATATGAAGCCAGCGCCAAGTGCCACAGAAATGACCAAGAATGGCTGTAAGGTCTTCGGACCTGGGGATGCTCGCCTGGTGTCAAGAGATGCCATGGCCCCTAGCAAAACACGCGGGTGTAAACCAGGTATCATTTCTTGGTCACGTAGTGAGAAGAAAAGGAACGGAACATGTTGTGATAACTGGAAAGATGTGTGGGGAAAAAAAATCGGGGAATACAACACGAGAAGATTCTTGACAGTCTTTTGTCACAATTGATTGTTGATGCATGCTGTTGTAGATCGCAGGCTGGGGAATGGCATGATCGCTCACGCCAGGGAAGAGATATCTTCTGGCGGATAGAGAAGCGGTCACATCAATCACGACAAAGCCTTACTACATTGCTTTTCTAGACTGACCCACACACGCAGTATCAGTATCAAAGATTTCGTTCGATTCTAAGAAAGAAAAAAAAAACAATAAAGGAATGAGAAAGTTCCTCCCCCCTCTCTCTCTCTCTTCTCTCTCTCATAATAATGAAACAGGACGTGAAGTGGCTAGGGGCCCATGCTCCGTTGGGGGATTAAAGGTGAGGATTCCAAGAAGATAAAGAAGCAGCAACAGCGCCACATGTTTTTGTTGTTGTTGATGATATTTTCATCTGAGCTGTAGAAAATAAGCAACACTATGAAACCCTGGACTATAATCCAATCTAAGCGTCACTGGACACACAGTTTGAGAACCTCCCAACTAACAGCCAAAGCTCATCAACATTCATCTGTCTGAACAGGCTGTAAGTACATGTGGAGAACGTCTGGTCCAGTCTGATGATCTTCAAGTGCCTTCAGAAAAATCCGCAACGCCCGGACCAAATTGTTTTCAAACGAGCACTTGGGCTCAGCAGGAGCTGTTATTCTTCTATCACTGACCGGACAAGATGAGCGCCCAACGAGGATTTCCGCCTGGTTGCTTCTCAAATTAACCCTGGGATCGCCGTGGATTACAGACAGCGAAAGAAATCGCTACAAAAACAACAGTGGGCTCGCCTGGGAAATACGATTTGGAAACAAAATATTTCCAGCCATTTTCCCTCTGTTGTGTTAGGAATCGTGGGCTAAGCAAAGTTCGGGGTATAAAAAAAAAATTTAATGATCAATATTTAGAAATGTAAAGTACCCTTTTTCGCGTCTTCAGAGGTTTTGGGCATATAGGACTAGACGTATATTTTACATACCAACCGGCGATAGGTGAGTGACGTGGTCATGGTCAGCCTTTACCCCTTCCCAGGACTATACCTGGTACCCACTCCAGGCTGGGTCGACCTGGCACCCACTCAAGGCTGGGTCGACCTGGTACCCACTCAAGGCTGGGTCGACCTGGCAACCCACTCAAGGCTGGGTCGACCTGGTACCCACACAAGGCTGGGTCGACCTGGCACCCATTCAAGGCTGGGTCGACCTGGCAACCCACTCAAGGCTGGGTGGGTAGACCTGGTACCCACTCGAGGCTGAGTCGACCTGGCAACCCACTCAAGGCTGGGTCTACCTGGTACCCACTCAAGGCTGGGTGGGTAGACCTGGTACCCACTCAAGGCTGGGTCGATCTGGCAGCCGTGGCCATTTCTGCTGGGGGGATTTCGGCTCCGCCAGGACCCGAACTGATGACCTACCGATCTGCAGGCGAGCGTATAGCCGCTACTACTGAGGCAGCAGATATTTTCGACGTACTGTTTACTGACGAGGTTCCAAGACACCAGACCCAGGTTCGCAGACTCCTATTTCCCACCTCCCCGCTCCCGTCGAGGTATCTGGCTAAAACGCCTAAAACTTGAATATGGAACGTCTGCTCTGAAAGACTATATAGTCCCACTCTGTGTATTCCCCGTGTGGGTTCATGGAGCAAATGCAAAAGAGATAACACCCGCACCCCCCCCCCCCCCACAATCAGATAATAAAATACGATTCATCAAGGGTTTGCTGAAATTAGATGCGTTAGGTCTAAAAGCAACCTAGCTGTAAACCACAATGCGGTTTCAATAAACGCAAGACAGAAAGACAGAGAGGGGGAAAAAATGCTACATCGGCAGAATACGGTCACTCACCAATATAGGCATTCCAGACATCGTTGAGGTCTGCGTGCTGGGCTAGGCAGCCCTTCATGGTGTTCAGGCAATAGTTGCTGCAAGGCTTCGTTGACGTCAGCCCTCGACAGTAAGGGCAATAGGTCATACGGACAATGGCTTTCACACAGGCATCTGAAGGGGCGATCTGGGGAAACCAAAATATAAAAATATCTCAATGCCACATCGCAGACTTGTTTATGGACAACAACATTATTAAAAATAACTGTAGTATTATATACTATTGCGGTCTCTCTTGGAGAAAGCATCCTTCTTCTTTTGCTGCTTTTGTTACTACTACCAATGCCACCACGATTATTACGATGATGACGAAGGCGGCTGCTGCTGCAGACACTTCCCATCCAATACAACCCGTTTTACTTGTTCAAGGAGTCGCCGTGGCCGAGCGGCTAGACGCTCGATGCAGATCGGAAAGTCGTGGGTTTGCTACCTGGTGGAGCCGGACTATTTTCAAAAATGACCTTGGCTCCCCAGGTCGACCCAGCCTTGAGTGGATACCGGGTGCAGTCCTGGGAAGTAAAGGCGCTCGGCGTGATGCTGACCACATCATCCATATTGAGCCGTTTGGTCTATAAAAATATGTCTAGCCCTATATGCCCTATACGCCTAAAGCCGTGGAAAAGGACCTTTACTCACTTACTTTATTTTCCTGACAATGTTGCCACAGCAACGGTCTTTCTACATACACTTTACGACTTTCAGCTGTTATTATATTGTTCATATGTGCAACGTATACAGTGGTATAATGTAAAGTAAATGTAAAGGACCCTTTTCATGCCTTTTGACTCGACAAATAGGGCTAGATATGTATTTTTAAAGACCAATCAGCAATCGACGGGTGAAGTGATCAACACAACAACAACCGCTTTTACTGTCCAGGATACTACCTGGTATACTCATTTTAGGCTCATCAGTCAATTAATATTTTTAAGTAGAAAACTAAATTAATCCACCTCGATGCCGATTCAAACATTTGACTTGACGGTGGACGTTGGCGGAAAGTGAGCCAGATTTCTGTAAGTCTTCTTCTTCTTCTTTCGTTCGCCTGAAATAAGTTGTCTATATCAGCAGTTTTGTCTCTTGTATAAATTTCACTGTCGTTGTTAGTTCATTCAGGGGTCCATAGAGTTTACGTTCCACTGTTGTTCTTTCTGGCCAAAAGGTTTGCCTTAATGTATCAAAAATCGGTGCAGTCCTGGAGTACACGCTCTGCTGTCTAGGGCATATTTCCACAGGTGCACATGGCTGATACACCTATCTTGAATTTTGTGTACATGTGGTTACGTAATCGGTTGTGCCCTGTTCTGAGGCGGAGGATAATGACTTGTTCTGATCTGTCCATAATAAAAAAAAAAGTCGTCTTATGCTGGGGCTGGTGGTTTCCTGATCGATTTAATGATTCTTTTCTTTTGGTGGTATGTGACTGGTACATCCGGCTGCTCTTTTGTCGCACCTTCCCCTGCCAGTTGATCAGCTTTCTCATTTCCAGGCACTCCACAATGAGACGGTATGCACTCCACAGCATTACGACTCTTCGCTGAACGCTGAGTTGTGTCAGCAGTGTTTGCAATTCTAGTAGTTTCCTAGACTGGAGTGCTTCAAATACTGATTTAGCATCTGTCAGCATTACCACACACTGTGAGCCAAGGTTGGTATTTAGCAGTTTCTCTGTAGCTATCTTGATAGCCTGGGTTTCTGCATCGTAGTTATGGCAGTACTTCCCGGTTGGTACGCTGGACTTATCCCTAGTACCATCTGGGAATTCGATGTACACTCCAGCGCCACCATTTCTAACTGCACTTTCTGCTGACCCATCTGTATAGACTCTGACCCATTGTTCTGGTGGGTATTCTTCATCAATATAACTGCGTTGTACACTATCTTGCTCTTTCTTTTCTAATACCCATTTCACATTTGTCTGGATTTGTACCGTTAGTTTACATTTTTCTCTCCATGGGGTTTGTTTCGGAATACTTTTAAGTGGGCAACCAATTTCTGGAAGGTCAGGAGTTTGTCTACATATTCTTTTTGCTTGGTGTATAAAGCTGCTTCTTTTTAACCGTCCCAAGGCTTAAAATCTATTTTCCATCGGGTGATCTGGCATACTGAGGAACTTTTCAGCTTGTATTTGCAACTTTGTATCTCTGCGTTCTCTCAGTGCCTGTGTTTTCCCAGCTTTCTCCATTTCTAATATGGGGGTTGATTTCATCCCTCCTGTGATGACTCTGTAGTGAACTCTGACCAAATCTACATCCTTTGGTCATGTCTCAAGAAGGAGAAAAACTGGAGTACATCACGACATGACGAAAAGTTGGAGGGGAAGAGAGGCAAAGGGAGATCAAGGGAGAAGACGCTAAGTAGTCTGACATAATGGCAATGGAATATTATACGTGTCAGAACTGACCGAAAGTACACGAGACAGAAGGCTGTGGATATACACCACAACCAACGCCACACGACATGGACTATACAAGAAGAAGAAAACTCAGGAATGACCAAATTCATACAGCACAATAGGCGATGGGGGAATTCATAGAGGTGAGTCCATGACACCGCATGTCCTGCTTCTGACTAAAAGAGTTAACACGTTTCTTTCTTTTGCTTTCTCCTCCTGTTCGGGCGATATCATCAGGGCTCTCAACCCTCCCAGTTCAGTCCTGGCTTGTTTGATTCATTGTTCACGTTTCTGTACCACACACAAACAGCAAGAGTGTATACATCACTGTTTCGCCCAATTTATCACTTCACCTCGAATAACGCCCGTATCCTTCATCTTGCTTGTGCGTTCCTCATGGTGTCACGTTACCGGTACTCTTTGCACAGCAAATAAAAAATAAAAAAAAGGGAATACCATTCACATGCAGACTGTCAGCGGCACAAAGAGAACATGACCTTCTTCAAAAGGAACCAAACAGGTCATGGCTCCACGCTCAGGTGAGCCACATACAAAGTACTGGCGATGAACAGGATGATTACGGGTTCTACTGATATATATTTAGAACAGAGGGAGGTGGATGTCTCTGCAGGTCCGCCTGTATATACAGAGAAGGCCGTGGTCTGTGGTTCAAACGTTTTCCTCCTATTCTGAGGGTCGTAGGTTTGTCTTACTGATGTGTTGTTAAAGTAATTAATCAAGTAACAGATAGTTTTAAAAGTACAGGCATCCCTCGTTACACGAAAGGGCTATTGAACTGGCGGCTCACGGAGGCCTAGAAAGGGGTCCTCAGATCATTGCCAGCTGTATTATATTATTGATCTTGAGTAAACTTAGTTGAACAGCCCTGTTGTTACAGGTGATCTCACTTTATGCGTTTTCGCTATAATGTAATTTAAGAGGGAGTTGCAGACAAAGCATCAGGACATTCTCCTAGCATAGCTGTTGTAGATCACATCTCCGATACAACCAATGGATCAGAGTTTTAATTGCAACTCTCAATGCTTTTTTAATATCCTACCCCAAACAAGGGAAATTCCCAGGTCACGGGAATCTAATATTTCAAGGGGTGGTAGATAGGCTGCATGCAGTCGTAGGACCGAGGCTGCATGCAGTTATGGGACCAAGGATGCACTGTCTCGTAGGACCTAGGTGGGTTGGGGTCAGTTCTAGATGTTTTAGGTTCGTTAAAAGCATCAGAAAACCGGGAAACCCAGTCTTACCATCCTCTAAAATGTTGGACTGTCCTGTCATCTGTGGTAGGATATTAAGAAAGATCCCAACTTTCTTATTGTTCTTCTTCTTCTGCGTTCGACATTAGCCTTGCTAACATTTAGTCCTGACTGGGCCAGACACAAGATTGTGTGCTTAAGGTCTAAGATCGCCGCTTGTCTTCCAACCCCCCCCCCCACCCCCTTTTTCCGCCTCTTGTAATATTGTAGCTCCACTGGGTCTGTCTGCTCCGCAATCACATGCAGCAGATTCTTCTATGCCTATCTGGCGTAGATGTGCTCTAAGACCACAGTGTTCTGTCAGAAGTTTAAAAATCCATACTTTCCCAGTTGGCTAACGATGTCGATAACAAAGATCACATTTCCGCGAGTGAATTTTGGAAGAACCACAAAATTTAACAAACATATTACAACTGATGACGGTGCTTATGTGTGGGCAAAGGTTACACCGTCCTGTTTGAAAGGCAATTGGAAGAAGCCTTGGCCTGAAAACGTTCAGCCGACAGTTGCTTCGCTCCTGTGCCAATGAAAACCGTACAGGCTCCATCACAGTCTATTGTGAAAGACTGACAGACTGCGGTGAGCAGAGAGCAGGGAAGTGACCGTGACTCCCCGGAAACAGTTCCTGTGTCAGAGAGCAGGAAAGTGACCGTGACTCCCCGGAACCAGTTCCTGTGTCAGAGAGCAGGGAAGTGACCGTGACTCCCCGGGACTAGTTCCTGTGTCAGAGAGCAGGGAAGTGACCGTGACTCCCCTGGACTAGTTCCTGTGTCAGAGAGCAGGGAAGTGACCGTGACTCCCCGGGACTAGTTCCTGTGTCAAGTGACAGAAGCCTGTCAGCTTTTAGCCTATGTACCACACATTTGTGTACAATTTCACAGTCAATAAAGTTCACTGTAAACATTGAAATCTTGGTTGTTTCCTCCCTTTCAAACTAGGTCTATATTTATGTAATATATGTTAAAATGCATTATTCTGACGTGTTGTCGTGCAGCGCGATGATTTCTCGGAACGAATTAATCGCGTATAACTAAGGGTGAGGACGGAAGAGGGTGAGAAAACTAACGGGCAATTCACTGATTAAAAAAAGGGAGCTGGGGGAGGCGAGAAATAATGAACAAACTATTTTCAAAGAATAACAAATTGGGCAGGCCTGTCAAAAATTCCGCCGGATGGAGAGAGAGAGAGAGAGAGAGAGAGAGAGAGAGAGAGAGAGAGAGAGAGAGAGAGAGAGAGAGAGAGAGAGAGAGAGAGAGAGGGAAGGAGGGGGGGGGGCAGGCACAAGCAAAGAAACGCTACACTGGTGGACTCATGAACTTTCGGTATCCCAGCTGAAAGCTCGACTAAGCTGCAATAACGGAGCCTTCTGCAGACAGATGATTTTACTGTGGACATAGCGCTTGGTAGTGATCATGACAAAGATTTTGGGTTTGCGGGTTTGTCTCGCATATTAAAACTGGA